CCCCCCCCCCCCCCCCCCCCCCCCCCCCCCCCCCCCCCCCCCCCCCCCCCCCCCCCCCCCCCCCCCCCCCCCCCCCCCCCCCCCCCCCCCCCCCCCCCCCCCCCCCCCCCCCCCCCCGCCCCACCCCCCCCCCCCCCCCTTCTTCTTATAAATGAACTGATTAATAACTCTTACTATTATTTTCCTGTTTGTGCATATATCTGTTATTCAGTCTTCTTATCAATGGAGTCTGTTCTCTTGTATTTGTTAGTTTAGTTTATGTAGAATATTGTTGTCATATATGGTCAGATATTATTTGCATTAATGGTTTGTAAACAAAGGTTGAAGGAATTTCGCACAACTATGATATATCTGTATTCTGTGGCGAGTCTCATTGATGAAGTATGAATAGTCAATAAGATACAGAGGCATTGGAGAAAAAAAAAGCAATGTAGGGACACTGAATATAACTAGATACTGTAGATAGAGATGAAGGGCAGAAGAAAAAGGAACACCTAGCATTAGTGGAATATGTTTCTTTTTTGAGAAGGAAAACACTTCTATTTTTTTTGTCAAGTAGTCTCAATACGAAACCCTGAAACTTGTATTTAATTATTCCCTTCTCATTGTTTAGTCCTTAAACTTATCTGTGTACGGATTAGTTGTACTAGTTAATCCTTGAAGAATTTATTTGTGTAAGAGTTAGTCCCTGAATATACAACTTGTATCATGTTAACCATTCTTGTATCACTTTAATCCTTGAGAAGAACTAATTTAATACGACTTTTGTTGGACTAACTTGTAGACCCTGGTACACAAATAAATTCAGAGAAAAGGAAAGTAATAATTCTAGCGATTGAGTTGTCTATTTAAACAACCATAGAAATAAACACCAAGGCAATATGGTTTTACCCAATAAGATGTTGGAGATTGTCATTTCTGATATAGTTTTATCTGTTGTAATTAACTATACTCAAGACTCGAGAGCATTCATTATCTTTATTTGAGCTGCAGGATGGTCTGAAAATTATGACATCATGACATGAGCTTCTGTTCAAACTCAAAATAAAAGTCCAGGAGAACAATTTGAAACTGAAATTAGAAGATAAAATCACTGAGATTGCAATTGTTGAAAACCGACTATGGCAAAAACTTAAGCTCTTATGTGAAGACTGAATATTTGTTTTATATCTCTACCATGTGCCATTCAGCATAACAAAGCACATGCCTATGTTATCTTATGTTAAAAATCAACTTATACTAGAAGAATGGGGGCAGCAAGAATAAATCCTGAACACTTATTTAAGGAGGCTTTGATTCAGTGTTGAGGATCAATCATCTTATAAGCTTAAGCTGTTAGGCAAGTTTAGTTTAGTATCTCTTATAGGATTCTATACTTTACTGCAATGAATGTATGTAAATCGTTCATTAGATTTCTTTGGTGTACCATTCTGTGATCCACTATATTGCTAGTGTTTTATGGTGTCCGGGATTAACTACTATGGCCAGAAGCAGTTCCTAATTACTTTAGCTAGTTTTTGTGCTCATACCTCCATCATGATTCTAGGTATTTGAAACAGGATGTTGAACTTATTAAATGGTTGCAAAATTGTATTTTTAAATAACTGCCCTGTTTAATACATTCAGAGAAAACTATTGCCTTTCCCTCTTTTATATGCAGTGCTCCTTTTTGATCTTTTTGTGGTGCTTAGCTAATCATTATATTTTAGGGGTTTGATAGATGACATTTAAAGAGATTGTTTATCTTTTTGTTGATTTTTTTTTCTGCCTTTGGCCTTTTGTTTCTTTTTTAAGTATCTTTTTTTCTGCTTTTATCTTTACTTGTTTATTCTCTCCTAACTAGTATTTTAACCCATGCAATGCACTGGTTAAATGTTTATTATATGTAACTAAAATTTATAATAAATTATAAATTATAAATTACAAATAAATTCTATATTTGAATATATAAATTACATTTAAAATTTGTATAAATAAACAATTCTAAACATATAAATTATATTTTAGATTTATGATAAATAATTTATATTGAAACACAAGATTATTTTAATTATTGATAAAAAAATTTGAATTAGATAAGAAGTTAAAAAGATTTCTAAAAACTCTAATTGAAGAAAAACGCTTAAAAATGCTCTTGTTAAAGAGAAACTCCTAAAAATGTTCTCACATATAGTTGATCATATTTAATATAGAGGAGTCGATACTTCTTATTGTATTAGAAAATGTAAAAAGAATATTAGTTGATCTCATGTTTAATGGAGGCAGATTGTGATCTACATGTTGACATCATTTTTTTTGCAGCCGAGCAATGGGAGATGCCAGTTCAGCGGTTTCGTATTTTGAAGAAAGTGTTCAATTTCTGTCAAAGTTGCCAAACGATGATTTGGAGGTTATTTCATTGGACCCCTTGCTTTGCTGGACTCTCCAGTGAAAAATCATAAACTATTACATTGTGTTTTCTTTTTTTGTTATCAATTTAATTCTTGAAATTTATTGTCCTACAGATTACACATACACTTTCTGTTTCACTCAACAAAATTGGAGATCTTAAATATTATGATGGAGACCTTCAAGCTGCTAGATCTTACTATTTTAAATCTTTGAATGTTCGTCGTGATGTTGTCAAGCAAAATTCAAACATTCCATCCCAGGTTGGTTACTGCTATGCACATACATTTGATTTGTATTTTTTGATGATATCTAATTGATCTTCATGCAAGTCTTGCTCTTCTTTTGTCTTGGTACAAGTTTTTTCTATGTTGGTTAGTAGGCTGTTATATGTGGTCATAAGGTGAACCAGCTAACATTAGAATAGGAGAATTATGGTAAAAATTAACAAAATTAAATCTTGCAGTGAAAGGGGGAAACACGCACAAATTACAAAATTAGATTAGATGGCAATAAGAGGAAGCAACAGAATTTTTTTATATGTTGTGCAGACACAAACATACCCTTCTATGCACCTGCACGCAATAAATGAGGACAGCACACAATTTTGTTATCTGTTCATACTTAACAATATCACAAGCCCATGCAGGACTGCCACTTCAATAATATCTCTATCCCACACCCAGAAATTGAGATGGGGAAAGGGACAACAAAGTATATCTAGTAAAGTACATGCTAAATAATCCTTTAGCTGTTAGTCCAACTAGATCAAATAACATTAGTTTAAAAAACATTGGCTTGATACCCAAATTAATTGAAAAAAATCCTTTCTATTTAGTAAATCCTAAACAGATAAGCTTCCAATTGATATTCTACTGGTATTATTCCATAAGCCTAAGAATAGTTTGGGGCTTTTTGATAAAGCAACGAATCAAAGGAATGCATATTAATTTTCCAATCTATTTTTTTCTATGAAATTATTTTTATAAAAGAATTCTGGACGTAAGTGATGTTTTTGGTTGCTGGAAATGTTTTCTGTTTCTATTTTCCATTTCCACTATGAGCTCTTGACAAGTATAGATACTTTGCAGTTTTATTTTGCTAATTAGCCAGTCCATAATTCAATATTGGATGGCCCTTACATAGTTGCCATTGCAGAACATGTCTTTTGGCTTATAATGAAATTGATCTTTTTCATTGTTTTCTAATAAAAAATATAGGTTCTAGATGTTGCTGTTTCTCTTGCAAAAGTTGCAGATGTGGACAGAAATCTAGGGGATGAAAAGTTAGCGACTGATGGATTTCAGGAAGCCATAGACTTATTGGAATCACTCACGTTAAAATCTGAAGCTAGTGGGCTTGAGCAACGGGTAAGATGTCTATATACAAAGAAGTACTATATATACGTCATATATATCACGTGAGATAACCATTTTTATTTTGGAGTGACAGAAGTAATCTTGGCCACAAAATCGTAGTAGTTAAAGATTAGAAGTTAAATAAAGATTATATGATCACTTAGAAAGCTCACGAGTTTTTTGTTTTAATCTTAATCATTCATAGAAAGGTCACATGACTTTAATGTTTTAATCATAATCATCCATGAGAGTTGTATTGGTAGAGGCTTAAGATCTGTCCTTCTTTCTCAAATTAAAGTCTTATCTGATATGACTCCTCATTATGTGTAATGATTAAAATATTAACTCTTTTAACATTTTAAGTAGATGTTTTCCTATTTCTTAATCCACAATTTTAGTCTCCTAATTTTGGAAAAATCCACAATTTTGGTTCAGCTGTCAAATCTGCACACTTGTAATGCATCCATGCATAATCTTCAAAGTAATGGTTTTTATGTCACATGCATACAATAGCATGATAACATGGAATACTACCATTGAGTTCCCACTTATTGCATGAGTAACTTTTCTGAATATAAACAGTCAATGTATGTAGATTTGATGGTTGGGCTAAAATTGCAAATTTTTTTAAACTGGAAAACCAAAATGGCATTGTCAAGAATAAGGGGACCAAAAATTGTTGATTAACCTTATATATACACACTAGATTTATTTGCTTTATACTGCATTTCCTTATTAGAATTTCAATTTCAACCCTTCTACAGCGACAATCAGTCCTAGGCTTCCTTAGAAGCCAACTTCCAGATACACAAGAACAAGCTGAGCCAACAGTCTGAGATAGGTGCTCCACAGGAAGAAAGGAAACATGAATTCAGATGCAATAAATGTTTCTGCATGCCACAGGACAAGTTTGTAAAATAAGCACAGCTTAAGAAAGGCACTACTAATGGAGGAAGAGGAGATTTCAGAGTAATGAATATTTCAGGCTTTTCTGGCATTGCAGTACCTGCCTATGCCCAAGATTCTACATCAGATCCACTTTGTATTTTCTCCTGCACCCCTCTTATTTTTCTTGTTTCCACCTCTTTCGTTGCATCTTGGTGCATACTGACAATTGTGCTGGGGTCTCCCTTGCATTATTGTAACTAACTATACTTGTCTAATAAACTAGAAATCAAGTAACATGTACTATAGGTTGTGTAGTTTGCGTTAGAACTTAATGAATACATTCTATACTGTGAAAAGTGAAATTTATAAAATATATTTCATAACTGTATTCCTTACACTTGCAGTTGCCAAATACGCTTTTATAAATCACAAACTTGCATGGCAAAATAATTGCTATAAAACAAATCACAAACTTGGAAGTTGGAAAGCAGAGTCGTGGTTATATGTCTTGTAACAGGTAATGCTTGGTAATGCTCCCACCATATCTTGTAAGGCATGCAAAATTTCATAACTCCACACACTAGAATGTATCTTATTAGTAAAGAGGAAGAAATTTATGGGCAGAGTGAATTCCTGAATCTGAATAAAGGTGAATTGACCGTGGCTATAGATATGGTAGATATTATTTTACAACTCTTTCTCGGGAGGTATGCAACATAGAAGTGAATTGTGATTGCAAAGTACTTCACCATATTCAAAACAAAGATTTAGTGTGCTCTAGTACATCTAGCAGTATTATATGATATTAATTGTTGAGTATTAAAAGAACGTGAGAAAAAAGACGGAGTATTAGAAATGAGAATGTTATAATGACTCCGAAAATGATTGAATGTAATGAGATATTGGCGTTACACTTATTAAGGAACAAAAATTACCATTAGTTATGGTTATGCGCACAAGAGCAAAGACGGTACTGAGAAGTAAATTGCGTGGCTTTAAGTTCTTTGATAAGAGATCTCACGGTGGAATCTTTTTAAGAAAAAACAGTTTTAGCCTACTTTAATTTTTATTTCTTATCAAATAACTTACAAAATATTATATTTTATAACTTAAAAAAAATCTATTTTAAATGCCCTTTTTACTTTCACTTTTTTTTCTTAAACCAAAAATACCATATAACCAAACCTGAACCCAATGGCATCATGCAATGCGTATAGTAAATTTTAACAAGATAAAGTCTGATTTACCTGCATTTAAAGCATATGATTCCTTATTTCATTTATAACCACTTTAAAGATGGAGAGGTATCTGAAAGAAACATGAACATTTGACAAGGCAATCTTTAACTAATTTACTCGTGTGAACAAGACCATGGCAACCTCTCTAAGCCACGTATATCAGCCTAATAATATTCTACATATGAACCAAACTAATCTTTGGAATGATAAAGAAATTGCTAATCATGTGTCTGTATATCTTATCATATTTATTCGTTTGTTGCGTTTTGAAATGGTTAATCACTATTGTTGCGGTTATTCGGGGATCAATATGCTTATTGCCTTTCTCATATTCTCTTGATTGTTTATTGGGATTTGGGATTATTCTATAATGTTGTCAAAATATGCACTGAAATTTATTTCCTATCATACACTGGTGGTTGAAATTGAATTGATTTACTGAGATTTCCAAGTTCTTCATTTCTTTCATAAGACACTAGTTACATTTCCCATCAGTTACAATGGTGATGTTGACATAGCTAAAGGTAGATCTCTTTAGAGCTTACTTGCTTATTACCTGGATACTAATTAATTTGTCCGCCAAGAGAATTGCAGAATGCGAATAGAACACTAGCTACGAAATTGTTGGACACACGAGGCCAGCTTTCTAGGATGCACTGATTCACCGGTACAAGCGAAAGGCGATGACCGTGGCTTATATCATCTCACAAGAATAATAAGAGTAACACGCAATAGGTATGTAAATAGTAAAATCACTGATACACGCATGAAAGGTGAAATTGTCCCAACCAAAAATGCAAAAGATGTTATTCCAAATACCATAAAACCACATTCTCATACTACAGAAGTTTAAGTGACAGATACAAGTTATCTCTGGTTTTTATGTTGTAAATCTCTTACTATCGTTAATTTTTTTTTCCTTCTTAAAGCTGCTAAAACACCCGTGCAACACGCAGGTTTACATTAAGTATTATTCTATCCGCGGGTATATCTGTTCTGCAACAAGAGATATGGGGCAGAGTCTTCATGGCAGAGGATTCCTTCAAGTTGGACAGGAGTTTGCATGGAAGATCCTGATTACAATAAATCCAACTTAAATCATACAATATTTCGATATTATTTGGACAATAAGTTACTGGCAAATTTATTATATGGAACATTTTATTCCTTGTTACCACTGCAGAAAACAGACAGGTATAAACAAGGTAGCCAGACTTATACTACAGGAGTAAATGACTCCCTAAGAGACTCCAATATTACTCACAGTCAACAGTATCTGGTGCCCTAGTAAACAATACTAGTTACTACGGTTTAGCATAAGGAACTGAGAGGTAGCGTTTATTTTACTAGGATTCCTACCTAGTGCCTACAAAACATGCTCAGAAGAATGCTGCTCTGGTGCCTTACCGCACTAAAGGCTATTGATGATGACATTAGGGATGGAGAAGATAAATCTCAATCTCTAGTGGAGTTAGCTCACTCTTCCAATCAGACTTTATGATTGATCCATAGTATTTGGAGCATTTAATGCAGAACAAATGCGGGCCATGATAGCATGCTCAGCAGAAAACAATGGTCTGTCCTGATCCTAAAGCTAAAACCATAGTGAATAGTATACAGCTCCATGGATATTCAGCGTGGCAGCTTCTATTATATATAGGAGCTTCCAATCAACTATTGTCCTTGGAAAGGGAAGCTTTTCTGGGTAGGTTGCTTGATTACTGCTAACAAGCCAAGAAGGCTTCAACGCTGACATTTTGGCTTCCATAACTCTCCAAAGTACTGAGCCAGGAAGCATTCCTAATGGGAAAAAACATCCTTGATAAGCATAAAATCCGATATGTCCATGGCTCTCTCATAAATGACAGGTGATGCAGAATTTATTAAACCAGCTCATAGAAGATGGCATCCTTCCATGATCAAGTCCACATCAATGACAACAGGTTCAAGAAACAACATTGTTTTTATTCTAGTAATATTCCCCTTAAAAAAAACATCAACAATAACATGAGGAAGCCTCTGCTTTGAAACAGCTGCATAAAACAATCTTCTGTTCCTCTGATACTATAGCTATTCACAAAATAACATAAGATAAATGTCTAAGAATAACTTCAGTTGACCAAGGAACACACTGAAGATACTATCTCCAACATCAATTACCCATCGATCTCCATCAAATGTAATGCTTAATAGACATTAATCAGGGAGCAAAGCGTAATCCCAAAAATAGTTACCAACATGAAATATCACAATGCCATCCCCAATAAACCTAATGTCAAAAGCATGTCCTATGAAGTCTCTTTCCGCTAGAAAGAGGCCCATGTGGAAAGAATTCTGGGTCTCTACATGAATTGATGGTAGACAATATGTTCATACAGCATTCACAGTCAATATAGAATAATCTCAATTTTAGCACAGACAAACACATAGCTATATGAATACATTAAAAGGAACCACAAGGGTCAGCCTAGCGGTGGGAATTGAAGTATATGCACAAAATCCTAAGTTCAAAAAGTATTGCTGTCACTGTAATCCCTACTTATCAAAAAAAAAATTATATGTGAATACATTGAGGAACACAATTTTATGTTGTAGATTTCACTAGACACCAGAATAGAGGCATTGAATTTCCTAACAGAACCTAAAGCTAAGATAAGGTTATCAATCAACAACGGAAACCTCATTTTGTATCAACATGTTAGTGTGTATTCTCACCAAACACACAACACACAATTCATCAATTGCAATCATCAATCATCATCGTCACTCTCATCACTGAAGTACCCAGCTTTCTTCTTCTCCTTCTTCTTCTTTACAGCCCCAACATCCTCCTGGTTCCCCGCCAACAACCTCTCGTCGGCACCGTCGTCAACGACGGAGGCCCAATTATCGTCCTCGAAGCGGGCGGCGGCGGCTCCGTCGCCGTCGGAGTCGTCGCCGTCAGCGTCAGCGTCGCGGCGGTGGGGGCCGCGGCGGGGGCGCTTGGGCTCGGGGCGCTGGCGGGGGCCGAGCTGGTTGCGTGGGCAGTCGTAGGAGAGGTGGCCGTGGGCGCCGCACTCGAAGCAGCGGGCGGTGTCGTGGTAGACGCGGCGGCGGATGAACTCGGGGGCGCGGCCGTTGTCGGCGGCGATGGAGGCGGT